CTCCTCTGCAGATCTGTTTTTTAAGCAAACCAATACCTCCTCTCACCTCACTGAAATGTCACTGACACAACTGAATCCTCACCAGTGGGAGATTTTGGGCTCCCTTATGCAGACCCTTGATAGACACGAAATAGCAAATGGCTCCCCCTTTTCCAGGAGTCCCATCCAGGTACCGGTGGCCACCTCTGTGAGACCAGTTCTGGCCCCATGAGCGCTCCAGCTCCAGTGTCTCTCCTGTGGGTATGCCCTATAGCCTTTCTGAGCTTATTGGAGCATGCTCGTCCATTTGGCACCTCCTTGCATGCACAGACCATAGCCTACCCCAGCATATACCGCAGCCCCAGGGCACTGTGGAGGCATCCTAGATCTGGAGATAAAAAAAAAAAATCTGCTTTTATCTGTTCTGGCACGGGTTGTCTGTGTTGCTGTCTTTGGAAACCTGACTGTCCAGTCAGGATGAAGACCTAAGACAGGCTCAGGAAGGTTCATTAAGGATATTTGTTGTGGTTTTAGCCACGAAGCAGTGCAAAGACTTTGCTGAGCATGTGTGTATTGCAAAACCAAAACATTTCAAAGGCTTTCTGCTGATTTTTGTTGGGACAGGGGGGTATAAGGATGTGAAATGACTTCTGCCAAATTTTGTCATAACTCCAAAGTGGAAGTCTGCCAAAGAAAATGTTACTTCACTGATTATATTTTAATGTTGCAAAACAATAATTCAGCACCACCACCTGCACCACCTTGTTCTGAGAAATGGCTCCTTGTTTCTGGAAAACTTCAGTAAAAATAAAAATAACTATTGATAGGCAGATAACCAGGGGGGAGATGTCATTGTGCACAATTAAAATTAACCAAAGCAGCAGGCAATTGCTAAGGCACTCTCATCAGAAGAAACCATCAGGCACCTCAGGAGTTGTGTGCTGCTACCAAACCCATCCAATAGAAAACCAATCAAGTCATCGAATCATAGAATTATTTAGGTTGGAAAAGACCCTTAAGATCATCAAGTCCAATCACAAACCTAACATTGCCAACTCCACAGCTAAACCATGTCCCTAAGCACCACAGTTACATGCCTTTTAAATACCTCCAGGGATGGTGACTCAACCACTTCCCTGGGCAGCCTGTTCCAGTGCTTGACAATCCTTTCACTGATATTTTCCCTAATACCCAATTTAAACTTCCCCTGGTGTAACTTGAGGCCATCTCCTCTCGTCCTATCACTTGTTACTTGGGAGAAGACACCAACACCCACCTTGTTACAACGGCCTTTCAGGTAGTTGCAGAGAGCAATAAGGTCTCCCCTCAGCCTCCTTTTCTCCAAGATAAACAATCCCAGTTCCCCCACCTCTCCTCATAAGACTTGTGATCCAGACCCTTCACCAGCTTCGTTGCCCTTCTTTGAACACGCTCCAGCACCTCAATGTCTTTCTTGTAGTGAAGGGACCAAAACGGAACACAGACTTCAAGGTGCAGCCTCATCAGTGCCAAGAAGAGGGGGACAATCACTTCCCCAGTCCTGATGGCCACACTCTTTCTGATACAAGCCAGGATGCCATTGGCCTTCTTGGCCACCTGGGCACACTGCTGGCTCATATTCAGCTGGCTGTCAACCAACACCCCCAGATACTTTTCCACAGGGCAGCTTCCAGCCACTCTGCCCCAAGCCTGTAGCGTTGCATGGGGTTGTTGTGACCCAAGTGCAGAACCTGGCACTGAGCCTTGTTGATCCTCATACAATTAATTGGCTTTGGCCCATTGATCCAGCCTGTCCAGACCCCTCTGTAGCGCCTTCCTACACTCAAGCAGATCAACACTCCTACCCAACTTGGTGTCATCTACACCAGATCTTCAACCACCATAAGATGATTCCTCAAAAAGACAGCATCGCTCCTGCCCCACTACCTCTGTGTTGTGCCTGCCTCCCCAGTCATTAGCTCCCATGCCACCTGGGAAATCCCTGTTGGGATGACTTGGCCTGGTTTCCCACACAGCTGATGCAACTGGAGCCAACAGACCCTCCCTGCAGTGCCACGTATGCTGGGACACGCTGTCCTGCTCACTGTGTTTGTTTTAGGGGATTAGGAATATGCCTAAAATCAAGCACACGTTGGAAATGATGTTTCACACGCAAAGCAGTATGGTTTGGAGGAAAATAACAATGTTTCTGTGATTAAATGAAAATAATTGGGGTTAGATGGGGAGGAAAATAAAATTTCCTTTCAATTACTTGGATTTATTGTAAGAAAGAATGACATACCTTAGTCAGTTTTATCTGCTTTCCACGTATTTCCCTTTATATTTTTTCTCTTTTAGAAATTAATTTGGGCTCCTTTGCCTCATTAATGAGAGATTACCTAGCTTGGCAAGAAGTTTTGTGTGTTAGAAATGGGCTTTAGTAATACAGTTCTGAAACACTGATGTGCTCTTCTGTTCCAAAACCCCCTTCTGCTAAAACCCAAACAGAAAAACATGGCTATTTCCCTAAATTAATGTTCAAACATATGGAAGTCATTCTCTTCTCAATGGTTTTGTTGTTAAGGAGCAAACAAAGCTGCTAACATTGTGTGCTCTCCATAAATCCTCCTTTACTATATGGTTCTTCCTGAGCTACCCAGGTAGGGTTGTTAAATCAGGACAGTGCTTGGGATTTAAGAGAAAATAATACAGCTTATTTGATCTATTTAGCTCTCTAAGCATCCACTTTTAAAGATCCCAGAAAACCCTACTGTAAAATCTAAGGACAGAAGGTGTTTTCTGGGTGCAGATCAGCATCTGAAGTATCCGGGTCAGCTCTGGTGAGACACAAAAACTTTGCAAAAGTTTAACCAGTGACTGAAATAGCACAACAGAGACATGTGGTGATGGTGGTGGTGAAAAGAGGAAAATCCCAAGATTTCCCCTCTCCTATTTCCCTCTGTCATTCTCCTCTCTTCTCTTCTCCAGCCCAAAGTCCTGGAAAATACGGTTGCTGTCATATGAAGCTACACTAGTTTTTGGATTTTCCTTGTTGCCTCTCACTATACATTTCCTACTAGACATTTTTTTAGAAACAGGGAATAACTGCACACTGCATCCCAGAAGTGGGCATACCTCATACTTAGCAGTGTAATGATGATATCTAGGCCTTTCCTAACAATTTCTACCACTTCACCTACCTTTTTGATTGCAGTGAAGTGTTGAGCCAATGTTTTCACAGAAGGATATGTTGTACCTCTCTATCATCATGATACTGGATTGATCCAATTGATTGACTAATTGACCACTAATTGTATACAATTATATTATTTGGCTGATGCTGGCTCAGAGCATCTCATTTCATGTGAAAAGACAGGACCGTTTTACTTTTCCCCTATTAATATCTTTTTACACTACCTACATTGCATTTCGTTTATTTTTGTTGTCACTCACTCACTTAACGTCCATCACTCATCTAAGTCTACTCTCTGTTACTGTTCATACTAATTTGTTCTCTGTCCTTACAATTTGTTATTATTTATTTTGCTCTTTTGCTTCTTCTTGTCATCCTCTGGATCCATCAGGAAAAATTGATTTGGCTGTGACAGCATCCCTAAACTCCTCCACGGTGAACACAGATGCTGGAAAGCCCCTCCTTGACTCCAGTTCTGGCTTCATCTGCTCTGGGAACCCTTAGCACTGGCCCTGCAGATGTTCTGGAAGCCTTCAAGCTCCTGATGTGTTTGCAAAAGCAGATGTTATTAATTTGTAAAGCATCTTTGAACTTCTCATGGGGGGCTGCCACATTTGGTGTAGTTTCTAAGCCTTCCTCATTTGAACACTTCTGTTTGTTTGTTTTTTTTTTTTTCCTTTTTTTGCCCAGGAATTTTTTAGATTTCTATACCATGCCTTGCCAACCCGTCTAGATATGCCAATCTCCTTGGCACTTCTGCATACCATTCTCTCCCACGTAGCTCTTCAAGAGGAACTCAATCATGCCTTTCACATTAAATTGGAAAATAGCATGAAATTTTGCCCTTTTTGTGGGTTTCCAGATTATCTGGTCTCTGAAATAACTACAGAGTGGGTCTAAAAATTAGTGTCTGTGTCAGGCCCTAGGTGCTGTATACCAACCTGAATGGACACAATGCAAATTCCTCTTTACACTCATGTTTCCTGCCCGTACAACCTCCCTGATTGCTCTCTGGATACTGTCACCAGCAGGGACAGACAATCAATGGTGACAATTTAACAGCATTTTTATTTGGGCTTGGCATCCCCTGTTACTTGTTGAGAGTGTTAACTTGTGATCTGATCTGACTGCTAGTCCTTATCTCTGGAAATGCTCCAAAATCAAAGAATGAAAGGAAAAAACTCAAAATAAACCAGCCTTTTTTGGGTTTGTACCCAGAGAAGACATTTTGGTTTGATTTTGGATTTTATATTTGGGGATTTTGTTTCTGTTTTCTTTGCAAAGTAACAAAATTCTCACAAAACCAACAAGGAGAACAAAATGGTTTACTTTTTTTTTTTTTTTTAAGCTAAAGATAGGGGAAATAAGAAGATAATTCCAACCTTTTCATCAAAAAACAAAAGTATCAGCCAAAAGAAAAAGATTTTCAACACTGTGTTTGGCAAATTTGTAAGAACAGCAAAGGTGTAGCTATATTAACTATACTTTTTCAGCTTTATACAGTTATAAAACATTAATGAATACCAGAGGGAATATTTTTATTAACAAAAAATTAGAACACAAGCTTTTAATACCTATACTAGTAAAAACAGTTCATTTATTTAAACAGCAGTTTAGAAACCAGAAACAAACCAAAAAGAATTAGTTACTCTCCTATGGATTTCAATTTTGGAGTTAAAATCTCTTGATGACTTCTAGGGAAGCCTTAGGTTTGTAGTAACTCTCAGGAAACAGCACTGCTGACTACAGCACAAAACAACTCAAATTGTGCTGATTCAGTAGGCAAAGCCTTTGAAACTGGTGGAGCTTGTGAAGGAGTCAGAATCTTAAGAAATGCCAATATTATTTCAAGAGAGGGGAAAAAAAAAAAAAAAAAAAAAGCGCTCTATTTCCAAAAGGAGCAAAACTGGAAGGTAATTAAACTCAGCAGCATCCTAGAAGCCAACACAAGGCTTAACTTCTGAGTTCAGCTTGGATTGAAGCTCATGGTTGAAAGCTGATAGGGGCTTTTCCTAGTGCAGGGATAGATAAAGCGTGGTCCAGCAGAGTAGATATACTCTAATTTTGATTGCTGAGACACAGCATGGAGACCATGCAGTGATCTGGTAAAGTGTGGAGAGTTAGGAGCAGAGTGGTGGTTTGCATACTGTTATTTCTGAGGGCCTCACCTCTATGTTAAAGATCATCTGGATCAGTCCACCTTGTACAAATCATGGTTAGCCCTGGCAGAGTGTCAGTGTTGCCCCTGGCTGGGCAAGGGCCATCTGCCCCTGTCAAAAAGCATGAAGCATATCTGCATTTGGGTCCCATGCTTGGAGTAAGAAAAACTATCAAAAACTCTTCTTCTACCTTCCTCTCCTTACGGTGCCCTTTTTTGAAGGAAAGGTTGAGTACTGAGACCCAAGACATGCTCCAGTTCATTAACACAGCTGAAAACATTATCAGCAATGGATACTTAACCTATGCTCCTCGAGCAGAAGTTGATTTGCAAATGTCTAATAAAGGACATATGGACTTTTTTTTAATGAGATAACCAAGAAATGGGATTTACTTCATATTTTAAGAAATTAGACTATATCAAATGTGTAATAAAAATATTTTCTATAGGATTTGAAAATATATACATATATAAACTACCTTAATTTTTAATGCCCTGTTGATATTGATGTGGTCTCTACAGCATCTAAGTGTAACTAACTGAGGTTGCCCAGCAACCTCCATTATACCTCAAACAGTGATTAGAAAACTTGAAGCCTTGTCCACACTGTAAATTAAACCTGCTTGAAAACAGGATCTGAAATTGTCTGCTGGGCCTGATCCAGCACCCACTAATAGTCAGGCTAAACCCACTCCTGATCACAGGAGCTGGATTAGGTCCTAGACACAGGCCCAATATGATGTGGTTTCCAACCCTGTCAGCTGGGCAATAATAAAGGCACCTGAGGGAATTACTGAGACTCTTGAGGCACTTCCTGGTAAAAGAAAAAATATTAGATATTTTATTTAGAATACTTAGGGATATTTCAAAAGAGTCTCCAGTCAATTTGTGCACATCTATACTTCATTTTGAAGAAGGGCCCAAAGTGATGGTGCCCCAGACATAGCCTTTGCTCAGACACTGGCTATAGACTTTAGTCAAGTTTAAGGGAGGTTGAGAACTCAGGGCTAATAATGGAACAAAAAGCATTCATGCCTGCATCCTTCCTACGGTATCCTTCTCCATATGTCCTCCTGGCCTTGCTTGCCCAGTCCCTGTGGAGGAGGTAAGTTGGCACCAGAACTTCCCAAGACGATCTCCTGTGTCAAGTGCCTGCGGTGGCCCATGGCGCTGAACTGGCACTTTCATTAAAGAGAACCTAAAACTGGTGACGGAGGTGGAAGGGGCTGAGGAGAACAGATTACAGTATGGCCCTATGTCCACCAAGGACAGTGAGGACATGGCTTTGGGCTGTGCCTCCAACACCCAGCCAAACACAGTTTGCATTCCTGTTTAATCTAGCACTGCATCTAAAGTAAGTTCAGATTCATTTTCCATGCAAGGTTTGAAGCACGGTGTAGACAAGGTGTGAGGGCCAGATCCTGATCTAACGCAGGCAAAATTTGCCAGCATCATTGGCCTGAGCACTTACCCTTCTGTTATACTTTAAGGTAGGTAGCATGGGAGTTCTCCTGCTTCAAAGAGTTAATATAAGGGATTTGACCACCTGCAGAGGAAAGTTTCTCACTGAGCTTTCGGTTCATCTGTTCCATGTGCCTGGTGTTTTTCCTGGCTTGCCGGAGAGACCGCTTGACTTTCTTCACCCGATCTCGCAGCTGCTTGTTGCGTTTCTCCAGCGTTGCCACTTTCTGCTGCAGCTTCTTCACTCTGTCCTCCTCCTCAAACAGGGCTTTCTGGACTGAGGAGCACATGAGCTGAGGGGACAGCAGAAATTAAATAGCAACAGGTGAGCTTTACACAAAAATTTATTAAAACAACGGTTAATTCAGGTGTTCCTTGAAACACATCACAGCTCTTCAAAAGTATATATATTTTTTTTAAGTTATATTCTTTTTTTACACCTTTTTCAGTAGAAGCCTCTCTTTCACTTCTGTAGTCAGATAAGACCCAAAATGGTAGATCTTAATAATACTAGTGATTCACAATTACTTTTATGAACTGTTTTGACAGACCTGTCCAGCCCACAGAGGCTACATAGAATTTATGAAGGAAGGATGCCCTATTTCTGGTATGAAACTTGAGTTCAGGCCAAGGGGTGTCACTTTCGGAAAACTCTAGATTTTATTCAGCTTAACAGCCCTTCAGAAACCCAGATTTTGACATGAGCCTTGCCTTTGTTCTTTATGTCAACATGTGAAATAAGGACAGCACCTGCAAAACATAGAACCGGATGTTTTTGCCTTCTCAAGAACTAAGTTGTCTTAAATATCTCATTACATGGGCTTCTTTCAGATGAAATCCTAAAGGGTAAAATTTCAGCAGTCTCTAGGAGCATTCAAGATCCCATAACTATCAGAAGTGATTTGGAGGGGGGGGGTGTCACTGGCTGAAAACTGCCTCTCTCATTCTACCCACTAGCAACTTTTTGCTATATTTCCCCCAGTGGGGGCATCAAGCTCTTTATGTCTACACATGCCTGTGGCTCTCAGATAGGGAACAAACAAAAAAAAGCATCCAGCTTCAAAGGTGCTTCACCCAAGGCAGCACTAGAAGAGCAGTTCAAAGGGCATTTTCAAATCTACTGGGTTGGATGATGGTCCAAATGCAAAGCATTACTTGGACAATTATCCCTCCTCTATTATCTCATCCTAGGATGACCCAGAGGCTTATGTCATCTCAGCTGCATGTGATTGCCATGTTTATGGTCTCCTATTTCAGACTTGCTTCCTGTTTGTAGGTGCAGCAATAGGAATCGGATGAGAAACACCAGCTACAAAGGCCATTGACTGATTTCAATGCATAAGAGTTGTGTTCCTGATGCACAATGTTGCTTGAGACGAGATTCAGCTGCCTTCTCTTAAGCATTGAAAAATGAGACTCAGGTCTGGACTCCTCTCTTTCAGTTTCCCCTGTAATGTCTTCAGGGAGAGACACTCTTCAGGAGGGTGATCTCCACCTCATAGGGCAGTGGGAGGAATCACCCTCTGAATACAGCTCTCTCATTTCACTGACTACAAAGGCATCAAGTTCCATGTTTTCTACCTGGCCAACATTTTCCAAGCAGAAAAAGAGGAGGTGCCTGGGGCTCAAGGACAGCCCCACCACAAAGTTTCTGATCTAGAGGAGCCACCACCAAAATCTATTTCTGCCCAGGGTGATGTGCCTCCTTCCTTTTTTTCCTACAAAAAGCATCCTGAGATATTTTATTATGCAAGTGGGACTCTCGGTTGATTACTGCACTGGTGTTCTGTGAGCAAAGGCAGTGTCTTCTGCTGGATTTATATCCTATTACATCTAGATTTTCTTTTATGTGTGTCAAGCACTCCTGGAGCCTGGATGGTCTTTCTTTGGCAGAACATTTGGAACAGACAGGGAATCTAAATAAACAAGTAAATCCTCACTGTGATGATGAAGGATTACGTGTTTCTTTCCATCTTACTTTGTAGTATTTTCAACAACTGAAAGTAGGGGAGGCAGCCTGCTTTGATGAATAACATTTCACTTGCTTTGGAAACCCCCAGCAGCCGAAAACCATGGCCAGTCAACATAAACAGAGCAACTGCTTGCAGTCCCCATAAGCTCTTGCCTCTTGTGCAAAAGCACTGTAGGGCTTTGTTAAAGGCAAATGCTTGCCCCAGTCATCCTCTCACCAGGGCTCTTTTATATATGCATACTAGGGAGACTGGGAGCTCACAGACAGGGGGCCAGAAATCGCACTGAAGAGAAGGGAATTTTGGTTTTGATCACAGCTCATTCCAAGAGCTATTTGAAAACAGCCAGCACATCTTGGCTTTTGTGTTTGCCAAACCCTTGCAAAACTTCAAGCAGAACACTTCTTGAATTTAAATCCCTGAAAAGGAGAAAACTGAGTTAGGAAAAGACATTTGTTGGGAAGACAGGAGGTGGAAACTCTATTTCATGACGGATTTCTTGCATTTTCCATTGATGCAGTGATAGGCATGGCACATGACAGAGTCCAATGAAGAGGAACAAACAATTCATACAACTGAAGGGTGAGGTTGTGTGAACCCAATCATGTCTCACCTGTCTGGGCTGGCTGGTGGGGAATGGTAATGTCTGATAGCAGACATCACAGATGGCATTAGCTTCATCCCAGAGGCACTCCCAAACCTTTTGATGTTGGTCCTCTGAGAGCAGAGGTAGTCCAGCTCTACAGAGCTACTCAGAAACTTCTCAAACACCATCAAAAAGCTACCAAGCTCATTTACTTACGCTGTTCCTCTTCCAAGTACTCACTCTCCAGTCTGAAATCCACAGTTTAGTGCTTAAGTTATCTGGAGATATCCAGTGAGATCACTGGAACAACCCAGTTACAAAAAACAGAGGTACTGTTGGACATGCACAGCTTTGTTTACCAGCAGGGTAGGTGACAGGAATTGCTCAGCTTGATAATTGGATGCCGGCCTGCAATCACAACACTACCATCATAAAAATAAACTTTTTGCTCTTTCTACACGGGGTAAAATAACAAGGTGGAGTCCTCACGGTCTCACTGGCTGGTTACAAACAGCATTTTCACTGGGTTCTGCAGTGGGGATGATGTTTAAAAGTGAGTGCTGCCCTACTCTTGCCATTACTGCTAGGGCAGCAGTTTACATGGGCGCAACCAAGCTATTTTTAAACTGGTGCTGAGAACTGTGTAACTGTGACAGCTAGGAGCTCAGCACAGCCTGTATAACTAACTCAGCTGATGAACAAATAGGTGAGAAGTTAATCAGCCCCCAGACCATGCTGCCACTTGAATACTTCTTGCTTACAGCCAGATGAGATATCCTTGCATTGCACAGTAATTCCTGTGGAGCGTATCTACAGACAAGAATTTCACACACCATTTTGTCTGGCCTCATGCACCCATAAATGTGCACAGTTCGCACTGATGACCATCAAGATCAGACCATAGTCCAAAGGAATTGCTAGAAGCTACAGAGCACTGGATTTTGTTTTGGGGAATGGCCTGTGCTCCCATTCTCCATCACAGCTTGCCATGTCAGGTACGCTAGACAAGGGAGGGTGGGGTTTTTTTATGCAACGTTTAAGGGACACTGAAATTGCCATCCAGCAAGGAGGATCCAGTTCCACTTGGTGCCACTGAAGGAAAGGATGGGGAAGGATGGATCGCTGACACCTCCTATTCCCACAAGTTATCAGCAGTAGACAGTTAAGCAACAGCTCTAAAATGCCACACTTAGCATGGCATACATCCCCACAGACCTGGGAAATGGATAGAAGGACAAGGAAATGGCTCCTTAGAAAAACTTCCAGGTTATTTTTCTAGGTTTCCTTCAAAAGTTACATTCTCTAGTGACCCACAGCTCAGAAAAGTTGTTTGTTCTGAAGATCTCTGTTTGCATGTCTGCTCTTCCCACAGTTTTGTTAGCAAGGCATCCTCAGCAGTGGTTAAGACTCAAGTCCAGGGCAGTACCACAAGATGTAACAAGGGGACCACAACAAGAACCATACAGCTCCTTAGGATTTATCCCAGACAGCCTACAGCTGTGAAACTACAAATTAAATATATTTAAGTATTTGTCTGAAACATCCTGTCACAAATATACACAGTTTTAAGTTTCACCACATCTAGATGATTTACAAAATCTGTCCATCTGCCAAACAAATCAGCACTGTAACAAATCAAACTGATTTTTGGAGCATCACATTACAGGCACGCGAGCCCTTTACCAAACACCCTGAATTGACATACATATATATATATATATATATATATATATATTTGTCTGATTGACAGATACACACATCTGCCTTCTATAAGCTTCATTTGAATGGGACAGTGGCTGGGAAACGCTCAGTGGACAAAGGCGCGATTGTTGTGTTCATCCACCATAAACTGTTCATAAATGGCTGAAGTTAGCATTACAGAGCTCAAGTCACTCAAAACCCAAGTGGCACCCAAGTTTTGCCCTTCTTCTACCAAAGGGAGAGAAGCTGAGTTCTAGCTAGTTCCTCATGCATGCTCCCTATGGGCAGCAATGATAAAAAGAACTGGAGTCCCACTATCTATAAATATTTCTTTTTAGGTCTCCTAAACATATCTTTCACATCAGACAGTATTTCTGGACATTTAGATATAGCATACCATCAGGCAAGATGACTGTAGGAACATCTTTAAATGTGTAACAGTGAGACCTGATCTCTGCATGGATGTGACATGGTTTTAGAAGAACTGGGAGCGGGTCACTTTGGTTTCTTGCCCTCAAATCTTCCTCCTGACCCACACTGCTGACTGGACCAGTGTCTAGCCGGGATACTCCCTCAGCATCCCAGACCCATCATCGCCCCAGCACAACTTGCTGGGAGCATATGGTGGAAGAAATGAGACTGGAAACACAGCCCAAGCACTGCAGCTTGGGAAGCACAGCTCCCGTTATGCTGCCAAAGCTCCTCTGCACTGCATCCCAGTGAGCTCAGCACATCCCCACAACGCTCTCCTCTTGCCCTTCCCTACTACAGATCTGCTCTGCAGAAAAGGTGAAAACTGTTTGCATTTGCTGCACACTGACTTGCTGCTCTGTGCTTTACCACTGTTCAAGTTATATAAAACATCTTAAACCAAAACCTTATGCAGAACAAAGTACATACTCCAGCTCTACTCATCTCAGCACAGCAATAATTCATGAACTCTCTCTCAAGGGGCTCAGGAGCCAAACATAGCTCTTCATTTTCCTTTAACTCCACCAGGATTTATTTCCCGAACCCCTTCTGTGCTTTTAGCAAG